TCAGCATCTGTATCCCCACACGGCCCTTTGGGCAGTGTGCTCCAAAGGAACAGAAAAAAGCACCCAATACCATCCAAACTGAGACCCAAGTTCAGTTTGGGTATCCATTCTCTTTAGTTTGGGTTCCCTGAGACACCCAAGTTAGAGAAGGAAAAAATAATGGATAAAGAGTACATCAGTAAGCAGGTTACTGCTGTGGGCAACCCGGGCTTGGTCCCTCTGAGACTCTCTATACTATGAAGTGTGCACCTTGTAAGTATCCCTTTGAAAGATAAGGAAGCTGAAATATTTGTTGGTTATTGGTTTGATTCCATGACACAGAGAGCAGGGTGGACTTTGTGTGGTTTCTCGGTGACCTTTAGTTTTCCAGTTTTAGATGCTACAATTTCCCTTTCCTCTTTCCTTAAACACAATGTGATGACTTGCGTTTCAACAACCCATACTTCCAGCTACAAAGGTAAGTTGAAGTGAATCTCAGCGGTATTGACTCTAATATCGCTGGACCAGTAAACCTGCCACCTCTAGTTTTCTTGTGACAAAAATATTCTTTTCCACCCAATGTCACGACAGCCAAAGGCATTCACATTTACTAGTCTTACATGCTGCAACTGGCACAGATCTGTACTCTGAATAAAAGGGTAGCATTATAAAGAAGCAGATGCTATGGGAGGCTTTCCTGGTGTCAGGGCAGTCATGGCAGTGGTTCTTGGGGACACAATGACATTTCAGACCTTATGCTGCTTTCTGGTGGCCTTCACCAGGAACATAGACAACAGACCCTCTGTACTGAATAATTACCACCCATTGAATTTTTGCTGTGAGCCAAATATTTTACAAATTTTCTTTCTTAATCATCTATCAGGCATTCAAGATGGATATTAATATCTTTCACTGAGGTCCACTGACTTGACAAAGATGGTTACAGAGGCAGAGGTGGGGATTCAGGTTTAGATCCACTGTGTCACGTCAAAGCCAGATCTTAACCACTACATAATATTGCCAATATTTCTTTTGCCAACGTATAATTTTTAGACCTGAGACCTTAACTCAGGCTGGATCAGGGGGCCCTATCCTAGGAGCAGGGATTGTTGCCTGTTGTCTGTCATCTGCCCCTGCTGGCAGGGTGATACAGGATCTGCCCAAATGCAGACAGGCTTGAAGCCAGGCTGCACAGATGTAGGCAAGCCTCTGAGCCAGGCTGGGAATGGCTCCAAATGAACTGCCAGACTTCGGTGTCTGAATCTCTGAGAGATAAGGAAGAATTTTAGGTGGTACCCCCAGAGACAAAGCAAAAATTCAGGCAAAGAAAAGAAAGTAGCAGAGTACATGAAGAGAGAATCAATCATGTGAGAATCAATCAATTCTGTTGACAATTCTTGCTTACAAAAGACAATTCTTGCTTACAAAATAGTAACTGCCCTCCGTTCTTTCCCTTCCCAAACTGGATTTTAAAGTCGAAGACTCAAACCCCCCGATTACAGATTTCTATTAAATAACTCTAATCTCAAGGAAGAAGTTAAAAGATAATTGCACAAATCATAATTTAATTAGGATTGTGATGACTGCTGGAAGAAAAGAATTATTCAATAGGAGTGTGTCTCTGGAGAACTAGACCCAGTCTAAAGGTTCCTCTTTCCATTTATTTTCCTCCTTGTCATCATTCTCCTCACTAGCCCTTTGTAATAATGGTATCTTCTGCAATGCCCCCTTCACTGCACCCCTACACCAGTCTTGATTCAGACCTGTTTGCCAATAGTTCATCCCACCTTATCTTTTTCTCCACTCAAGCCCATGTTCCACCCACAGCTAGAACTGTATTTCTAAAATGCAATCTTATATGCTTTTCCTTGCTTTCACATTAAGGTTTTATCTCTTGCTTCGCATGCCTACTCAACCACTCCCCCCCACCCATTCCCCCCCAGCATATCTCCTCTTCCGCTCCCACAGGAATCTCTCACCTCAGGAAGTTACAGGTGCCCATCCCCATTACCATTTTATTCGTGCTCTGAAATGTTCTTTACCCACCTCGGCCCAGGAAATGATTATCCTGAATTCAGGGTACCCACTGAACCAAGTGCTTGATAACATCTCACCATGGATGACTCACTGGATTCCAGACACTGGGCAAGATCAATGAGGAAGTGCTAGAACCCAGTCAGCACATCTTTTGATGGCAACCCCAGTGTAAGGTCAAAGAGGGCAGTGACAGGGTGTGTCTTATGTACTGTTTTATTCCTGGTTGTGCCTGGTACAAAGTAGCATGTGCCTTGCACAGAGGAAGCATGCTATAATCTCAGTGTACACATTAAGTGGAGAAAAGAAAATTATACTCACTGCTCTGAAACTTCCTCCCCTGAGTTACAAGTGTACCTGTTTAGTCTTTAAATAAGTTTCTAGGGGTAGAAGCTGTGATTTACTCATCACATTTTCTTTACAAAGAACACACTTTCTTTACAAAGAATTCACTGTGTGAATGGGGGTTTCACACAGGTTACTCCTTTTGCTTATTATAATGCCATGAATATTACCCCCATTTTATAGATGAGGCAATGCTCTTCTTTCCTGTTCCCTCCGCTCCCTTTCTTCCAGGATGCATGTAGTTTCTCTACTGCAGAGTTGATTATGAGTGGAGGCTATCTGTCCTGGGCTTCATATACATGAAGAACTCAAACCTTCTAACGGTATGTCTAAGTGTGTGTGTTTGTTTTCAATGTATTTAAAATATACTTCAAAATTTTGTGCCATATTTTACCAGGTGTTTTTCTTTTAAACATACTGGGAGTCATAAAATTAGAAGTGATCCAAGTTCAGAGAAATGAAGTAAGGTGATCAAAGTCTGACCTCTAGTAAATTGCCTAAGCCAGGACAGGGACCAGAACATCGCCTCACCCAGTGGAACCACTGCCTTAAACACATGAATCCACTATGGTCTATCATAGGGGTTTAAATTCACAGGATTTGGACATGGAAGCAGCCCAAATGCCCAAAAGTAGATGACTGGATTAGAAAGATGTGGTACATATATACAATGGAATATTACTCAGCAACCAAAAAAGAGAAACACATGTCTTTTGCAGCAACTTGGATGGAGCTAGAAAAGATCATGCTTAGTGAGATAAGCCAGAAAGAGAAAGAAAAATACCGGATGGTTTCACTCATAGCAGGAGTATAATGGACCAGGCGAGAAAATAACAAAAATAATGAACAACCATAGACCAGAGACATTCTGTGGGGGTGGAGTGGGGAATGGGATCAAAAACGGGGGGGGGGGAGGGAAATGCACGTGACTATGGTGGTGGCACAGGGGTGATTTGGTGATGGGAAGCCCGCGGGGATTACAATCGAGATGGGAAAAAAAATGTGCAAAATGATGTAAAAATAAACTTTGTAATAATAATAATAAAAAAAATTCACAGGATTTGGAATCAAGTTAGCTATGTTACCTTCAAAGTTCCAGCACTTAGGGCCCTCCCTGGTGGTGCAACAGGTTAAAGCACAGCACTGGGAAGCTAGTCAAGTTCAATTCCTGGCCAGAGGGATGACCCACACGGGGGTGACCCACATGGCTCAGCAGACCTCTCCTGTCTTGCACATTGCTCCCCTCAGCAGTGTACTTTGTCGATCCACCTGTTCTGCTTCCCACTCTGATTTTGGTGAATACTCTCACCACCCCTGTGCCTCTGGCCTGTACTCCAGTTTTGTATGCATAAATAAATAAATCCTAAAAAAAAAAAGTTCCTTTTTTGAAAGCTTCCTTATTTGAAAACTGGTGCCATAATGGTACCTGCCACAAAGTTCCTATTATGCTTCTGAAAATATACTTGAAGCATTCAGCACAGGCCTGGCACGTACTCAGCCGGCAGTAAATGCTGTTATTATAAGAACTGTATTGGTTTGAGTGAGTGACTCTGGCATGGAACGTTTGCATTCAACTGGAAGCTAGGAACTGTCACAGTCATTCAGCCGAAGGGGTGGGAATTGTGGCACTCGCCAATTACTTCTGGAAATAAATCTTTGTGGGAGGATAATTGCCGGTTGGAAACTGTGAGCCTTGAGGGAACAAAGCTTGATCCCCATGCCCGAGCAGCACGGAAGTCTCCCCCGTGGGCTGCAGTCACCATGCGGAAAATTCACTCGAACCGCGGTGGAAGCCGCTGATGCTGTCCAGCCCCGGGCGATGCTACTCAGAAACCGGGATTTAACGGAGCGCAACAGGAGCGCTTCTCATTCGTTCATCTTATTCTGGGGACCACACCCCGAGCGCCAGGAGGAAGGACTCCAAAAGCGCGGGGCGGAGACTTCCGCGCGGCCCCAGACCTGACCATCTATGGTCACAGAGCGTGTCGGAAAAACAGGAAGCGGGCGACCTTCCACCTTCCCAGCTCCGGGCAGAGATAGCGGGGCAGTGGCGGGCACGCCTAGAAGGGGGGTTGGGGGGCCTGGGCCCACGGCGCCCTCACCGACCCCCCGTCGCCCCCACAGGTGTCCAGAACCCAGTCCAGAACAATTGCCTACCCACGTCACAACGGGGAAACCGAGAGAGGCAAGCCCAGGGAGAGGCGGAGCTTAGCCTCCCCGACCCACGAGATCGCCGCGGAGGGCTTCCACCTTCAACACGTCCTGCTCCCGGCCCTCCAAGAGCCCTTCCAAACGCGATGTAAAGGGACCATTGAGGCCAGACTGATAGGTGAATTAACCACTTATCCGTTCTCTTTTTCTGGAAGTAGAGCTTGGCCAGGAAATTCGGCTCCCCACTGGTCTGAGCGATTCCGGCTTCCACAGTTGACAGAGGGCGTGGCCTTTGACCTAGGGGCGTGGCCTGTGTCCGAGCACGCCCCCTGGGTGGCTTCCGCCTAGGGGTGGAGCCTTCTCAATGTGCCTCCGGGCTACTGAGGATTCACTCTTCCCGGGAAGCAAGTAGGGGGCGGAGTCACGAGCAGGGCGCCTAGACTTCCTTCTCCCGGCTCTTCCAGAGGGGCGTTTCTGCCAGCCGTGAGTTTCCGGTGGGGGTGCCGCGCCCAATGAGGGCCCGGAAGTGGGTCGCGCGGAGATTGCTGGGCGGTTCTTGCCGGAAGTGGAGAGCGGCTGATCGCAGTCCTGAGGTGAGGCAGAGCTCTGAGGTGAGGGTGCGTGGCGAGTAGGGGTTGGGGTCCCTTCCGCGGCCGACGGACACCTGGAGTTGTTAGTGCCCTTCTAGCTTACGCTCTTGTAGCGAGCGGTGCCACAAGGGGCGGGGTGGAGACTCCCAGGCCGACCCGGAATCCTGGGCGCGGTCTCTAGAGGTGGGGCGGGGGTGACCAACCGAGCCGGGCTCTCCAGGGGAGGCCCCTCGCTGGATTTCGCTGTCGTGACCGTGAGCCCCTGCAGGGGCCTGATTCCTGTGTTGTCCTGCCTGAAAGGAACCTGCGAGACCTAGTCTTCTCTGCCTCCCTCTCGCCCCCATCTAGGGATGGGTAAATTGATCCTCGGAGAGAAGAGGCTGGTATAAGATCATCTGGGGAGGAAAGAATCAGAGACAAGACCTCAGCTCAGCGCTTTTTCGTGTTCTTTTCCCGGTTCCCACTCTTCCTTTGAGTGGTCTTCCGGTCGGTGTGACCCGCGGGCAGCTGCGGGTTATAGTCCACCCGCTGCGGGGAACTTTTTTCTGTTTTTTAAAGTGTAGCCTGTTTAGTTTTCTTGGGAAGTTTTTAAAAAGAGGAAGGGGCAGAGCCTTGTACGTGCCTTCTTATACCCGGCCCTCCCCCCAGGGAGTTAACTTTATTGAAGGTGTCGTATTGGTCCGGATCTGAAATCAGATGGCTCAGGTTTGGACTGGTCAGATACTGCCTGTAGCCGTAAAGTCTTATATAACTTCCCGGCGCCTCGTCTTTCTCATCTTTTAAGTGGAGATCTCGGCTCACTTCATGCGATTAAGTTCAGTGTACCAAATTGTGTTTATTCTGTGTCAGGTTCTCTGCCATTCCCTGGGAATGCAGTTTTGAAACAGCAAACTAGAACCGCCCTCACGAGCTAGCCCTGTTTGCATGGACCTTTAAGAAGTAATTATAAATATGAGTGTTAGGAAAATAGAATAGGATGTTATGGGAATAAGTGATAACGGGCTCAGGAAAATCCTCACTCCAGAAGAAGAATTTAAGAGAAATGTTGATGTTGAGTAGAACAAAGCTGGATGGAGCGTGATGGGAGCATATTACAGTTTCTGCCAGTTGACATTTTTTGTGGGGATCCTTGTTCAAGTGAAAAAAAAAGGGAGGAGACAACCTAGCAATTCATTGTTTACTTAATACTGACTAAGCCCTTATGAGGCACTTAATAAGTAGACACTTGATGCTGATGGCTACGAATACCATTGTGCTCACAGAGTGGAGGAAAGAAGAAACAAGTAAATGAGCGGTGGCCCACAGTGTCATAGTGCAGTGGGTGAGCTCAGGGCTGTGAGAGAATAAGAGAGGCATACCTGAGCCAGATGTTGAGGAGGAAATGGGAGGTTAAGTCGTGCAGGATTTATTTAGTCTTGTAGTAACTCTGGGAAAGGCAATTCCAGACAATACAAGTGCCAGAATATGAACACCAGTGGCTTGAAGTCCAGTAAAGCTTGGAGAAGTGGAAGTAAGAAGTGGGGAGGTCAAATATGAAGGACCTTGTCAACCATTCTAAGGAATTTGTGTTTTACCTAGAAAGTAGTGGGGAGGCTTTGATGGTCCATATGTAGAAAAATGATGGGGTGGGACATTATGGGAAAGTAGACCAGTGTTTGGGAGCTGTTGGCTGAAGCCATGACTTGAGCTAAGACAGCGACCATGGGAAGTAGAGGAGGGATCAGACTTAAGCACCATTTTTAAGAGAGAATTCATAGAATTATAGAATTAGAGGCTGTTTTTAGGAATTAAGAAATAGGGGTAGTGTAGGCCAATTGCTGGTTTCTGGCTTAGGGACGGGATGGGTGGCTTACAGGAGGGTAAGTTGGGGAGGTTGCATGAAAAGAAAATGAATTTTGTTACATTTGAGTAGTTTGCAGCATAACCAGTCAACGTTGATTAATATGGTATCCCAGCTAGAGGAGATAGCAAGAGCAAAGCTGCAGAGGAGGAGAGGGCTTATATTGTTCAGTGAAGTACTGGAGCCTAGAGTTTGTGGCCGAAGATAAGATCAGAAAAAAAGGTGGGTGTCTGCTAGGTTGTAAAGGGCTTTTGAGCCTTGTTTGAAAGCATTTGGATTTTGTTTTCCAGCCGGCAGTTTGTTCATTGTATAAGCTGTTGTGGTCAAGAAATATCTATAGGAATGTCTCTCCTTTCTCTTTTCCAGTACTGAGTCATCAATCAGGTAGACATTGTGTGTCTCAGAGGAATTTAAAATGGTGGCAGTGGAAGTACTCTGTCAGGTACACCCTGTCATGCACACTGAAAATTAAGATTCAGTGAGTCTGATTTGCTTTGAGGAGGTTAACTGTTTTGTAAAATGTTTTATTTTCAGTCTGAGAGATTATTTTTTTCTCACTCTTTTTCTTGGTTTTACTTAAATTTGTTTAACTAACATTTTTTTAAAACCAGGTACTGAAACTAAAAAGCAACTTCCTCCTTGTTTTTTTTTTTACGAAGACTGAGTCAAAGATTCATTTTACTTAAGCCAGCAAATGCAGTGTCATTGGAAATTCAACTCTTTGGTTTGAAATTTAATCCTGAGATTTAAAATCCATGATCCTGAAGTCATATTTTACCCTGTGCTAGCAACTATTTCCTTTTGAATTATCATTTTCTTTCTACTACCCTGGCTTTCATACCCATTCTTCAACTCTACGACAACCAGATGAATTTCTAAAAAAAGAACCATTTTGTCTTGTTTGCCCTTCATTGGTTTCCTATTCCCAGAGAATCAAGTCTAAACTCTGTTGTATAGTTTACAAAGTTCTCCATTCAGACCCTTACCTTAGTTTTCATTGAATGGTATAGATTGATACTGCCCTACACTACTAAATTAGCTGCTTTTTTTTTTTTTTTCCGCAAACTCTTGTGCTTATCTTTTATTTCTTACTACTTTAGAACAGGGTTTCTCTGCCTTGGCACAGTTGACATTTTGGACAGTATAAATCTTTTTTGTGGAATTGTCTTGTGTATCGATGGACTTAGCAGCATCCTTGCAGGAAGGCTTCAATTAGAAGCCTGTAGCACTTCTTCAGTTATGATAACCAAAAATGGCAGCAGACATTGCCAGATGTCTCCTGGAGGACAGAATTGCCCCTACTTAGAAAGTATACTAGCTATGACTGCAATGTCTTCCGAGACATTGCACAAACCAAACCAAAACCACTAAGTTTTTTTGAGAGCAGGTACAGTGGCTATGCCTAGCACTGGTAGTGCTGTCTGCTCTGCAGTGGATAAATCCTGTATTTTTTTTTGAGGTATCAAGAATGACTATTCTTAATAAGAAATTCCTGTGTGGTCTTTGAAGGTCATGCTTTTTTGTGTTTTTCCTAAAAGGATGTGATCTTAATAATTAGGTACTCACTTGAAGTAAGCTTTGTATTAGTTGATGGGCCAAGTCAACAGATTTATGTATCCCCTTTATTAGGGCTTTATAAATTCCCATTTTGTTCATGTTATTTATATTCAGACTGCTTGGCTTAGTGGCCAGGGACTTGTTTTAAACTGCATATGATTTATGTTGGTATTCATTGTTCATTTGGACTGATAAAGGCTTTATGGTGTCATCTTTATTTTTTTATATAAATTTATTATTTATGCATAGACTATCTGAGGTGTAGGCCAGAGGTACAGGGGGTGAGAGCATTTACCAGAGACAGAGTGGGGAACAGAACAGGCGGATTTATTGAAATACACTGCTAAGGGGAGCAGCAGGCAAGACAGGAAAGTCTGCTGTGGCATATGTGGGTCATCTCCCTGGCTGGGGATCAAACTCAAGCCGTAGTTGTGATAGCAGTGAAGACTTTAACTCCTAGACCACCAGGAGGACCTTTAGTTTCATCTTTAAATTAACACAGGTACAGCAGCATGTAACTACTACCTCTTGATATACCATCATGTAAACATAATCAGAATCAAGCTTCTAAAAATATTTCTTAGTTCAAAGCAGCTTTGTTTGCCTTGAATTGCCAGACCTGTAGTGTCAAACTTTTCCATTCTCCTGGAAAATAGTTAGAGTTGAAATGTTTAATGGAAGGAGTGAGCTTGCCTTGTTTTTTTTCTCTAAAGGTGATTAAAATTCCTATATTTAAGTTAATTATAGTCTTACAGTCACAGCTCTTTTCATATTTCTGGTTGTAGCTGAATCATGGCTAGAAACAAATGGTATCCTTGAATCTATCTTTAAACATGAGAATGGGAGATGCTGTTCTCCTTAAAGCAGCTACCCAGCTGAAATTAGCCAGTGCAGTTTTTTCTTTATACAGTGTAAATGATGCCTGCTGAATACTCTCATACATTTAGCCTTCATTATATTCCTTAAATATAAGAGAGGGGAACCCAGGCCACACACAGTTATCTGTTTGCCCCAGACCATTGAAATGGCTAGTTCCCATGTCTGATTTCAGCTTGTATGCTATTTCTAACTAGACTCATTCCTGGAGTTTCAGATAGAGGACCGTATTTAAGAAGGGAACAGGAGACAAGTGCTGATACAGGGTTGGATTCTTTTCCTCCCCAAAAGATAGCTCTTTTTTTCTTCTCTTTTAATCTAAACCTCAGGTGGCAGTGACTCAAGCACTAAATGTCATTGGTTTCACCAGTGAAACCAAATGCTGGGGAAGAACAGTAGCTCTTGATTTGGGTTAGATTTAGATGGCATCTTTACTGGGGCAAAGTAGTGTCTGTTCTTTGGTTACTGGGTTAAATCAGCCAACTTGTAAGTCAGTCCTGTTAGCATGTGTAGGGTTTGCTTTGTTAGAGGCAAGTGATGAGTATTTCTGTATTGTTTCAGTAGATCCTAACTAATAATGCCTTACAGCTTTCAGGAGAAATATCAAGTGGAGTTGGGGTTGTTTTGGTTTGGTTCCATTCTGAAGAGATTATAAAACTGGGTTGAAGAAAGTTTGGAAAATAGGGAAATTATTCACAATAGTACTCTCAGATATGACAAATATTGTAAA